CGTCAACCCACTTCTAGTGTTCACTATAGTTATTCAAATTTCGTTGAGGAATAAGGACAGAACTTTTAGTTTATGAGAGACTACCGATACCATATATAAGGATAGAATGTTGATCCATCAGATAAAGAATTTGGCGAAGTTTTGAATTTTATTCTATCTCTTATTGAGGCGTTTTCTGACGTGTATTGACTGAAAGAAGCCTTGACCTCGCCTAGGCCTATTCAAGATCAGAGAGTCAAACTCGAAAAAGTAGATATCAAGGCTCAGATGGTGGGGCACCAGATTTGGCCACTTTCTCTTTCAGCTGTATGACCTCGCTTTCGACACTTGTTCGGGGTGTCTGAGACACCTTGTGGAAAGTGCCCAGCCTTGCGTCCTCCACTATATTAGATATGATACTCTCCAGCATTGGACTATTAAATCGGTACATTCCCAGAGGTTTCGCCAGCATCTTAGCTGGTATCATCAGTGAGAAGCGCCAGCTTTAGGACCGAGTTGCGACTCATCAAAGGGGCAAGTGAAGGCAATCCTCTTGACCAATTTTATGTTCAGCCGTTATGGCATCTCGTCCCCTGTTCCGATAGCTCTCATCGCTTTGCCTTCAAGCCGAAACTCGGCTTCATATGGCCAATTTACACACTACACCTCTTCGTGTTCTTGTATGTTCCTATATAGCCTTGGAATCCACTTCAGGTGGATTTAATGAAGTCCAGTCATCTTCACCACCTGTTTCGTAAGGAGTTATCGGAGATTTTGGTATCCAACCCGCATTTCTCATGAACCATCTTCCCGCCATAACTTGGCAATTGTCCCCGGTTGCGCATGAAAACTGACTGTCTATAAGCTCTCGAGTATTGCGCCCGTTTCAGTCATGTTAGAGGATTTATGCACATGTATACCATATTGATTCACCCTATTTCGTTTAAGGTGATAAAGTGCTGGTAATTTAATTTTTCCCTCGATGATATGTGCAGACGTCATGTCCCCATTTAATTTCACATTGCCTTCCTTACCAAAATGTATTCTCATCCAAACTGGACTGGACTGCAGTTTCTCCCTAGCCCAGGTCTCATCAGCATCCCCAGCGGGACTCGAACCTGGGTTGTGGTAGTCTTGGCAGGTTAGTCACTACGTCTCCTTTCCACGAATGACATTGGGTCACAGGGCAGATGTGGATTTCTCATATTACATTCTATGCTAGGGTTGTGGATGCAGCAAAGTTGTGTTTGTTATATCAATTGACTACATTGATTACTTTTCGTTTATAAGCAAGTTTTCGAAGCTACCTGTAGATTATGTTTCCTTTAACGTAATGAAGGTCATAAGTGACCACGAAAGTATGATAGTCTTGGCGAGGACCGCTCTAAACTCGTGATTCTCACGTCTATGACCATTTTCACGTCCCTTTGGCTTCACTTACCCTGCTCTCCATCTCCGCTCATTCTCACATTCATTTGCATTCATTAATGAATCAAGTCAAACTCACCCCCCGTTCTCAAAGACTATAAGTCCTACCTAATTCCGAGGTTCCACTCAGTTCGGCGTGTGTGTGTATGTGTTAATAAATAAACCTATCTGCTATACAATACCTTTCAACATAACTAACCCATGTCCTGGGGCAAGCTAGTTTTGTGCTCCCAATCTCCACTGCATTTGAAATAGATTCAGATTTTGATCTTTGTATCTTAAATGGTATGCTATTCAGACGTGTGTGACCCTTCATTTCTATATCCTCCAGGTGGATTCACAATTTGCGATTTGCTTATCATGACCCTTATGTTCCCTCATATTAGGTCCATTGGATATTCGTTCCCGAGGAAAATCCAGGTTAATTTGTCAAATTCTTCCGGGCTACTTATGATCATACTCCTCACTATTCAGATATTCATTCTGTGGTTATGATAATATTGAAAATTGGGGATCATTCCGGCGTTTTCTTTTTTTCGGAATAGCCTTGTCCCCGGGTTCTCATTTGAGCAAATAACATCTACATCCAAGAATGGTGGTATCCCGTCCTCTACCATCTCTGTTGTCAATTTCACTTTTTCATCAATCTGGTTCAGGAGCCTCAAATAAACCACTTTACAATGTGACCAGATTGCAAAGTGTTCGTCGAGATATCGTAGAAGTGGTGACACCTTGAATTTCCCATTGTTGATGTAGGCATTGGCCAGATTGGAGGAAAGTGGTGCGCCCATAAGTAGACCAAATATTTACTCATATATACCCCCCCTAAATGAGAGAATAGGTCGTCCTAATCATTAGGTTGATTAATCGTGTCAAAGAAATACTCATTGATTAGCTCCGCTTGGAGGATATAGTCTTCCCTTTTCAGGATGTCCATCAGTGCCGTTTGCGCTTTCTTTCCGGGAGTGTTCACATCCATTGACTGTGCATCAAAGATGTCAAGCCTAAAGTCGTTGATCCTTTGAGAAAATTCATATGAATTCTTCACGGTATTCAACATTTCACAACTTTACATGGTTTGAAATAGATAGATTTTGTCAGTTTATACGTTGCTCCTCATTTGCTGTTGACTATTAGTTTCAGTGATAACCTTTGTACATTTTCGGTAGGTCGCATGCTATTGGTGGTCTTACATCCTTTCGTAAGAGGGAATTCATTGCAAACTTGTCGATTTTCCTATTCATATTCGTCTCCCTTGGTCCTTGTTGTTGGATCCTTGGTCAGCACTTGATAGATGTCTATGTCCTAGAGCATGCTCTCTATTTTCTCCTTATATTCAATTATGTCCATTACTACTGCTAGCTTCATTTTGTCCGCCTGTAGAACTATTTGTTGAGCTACTCGATTTTAATGCTTTACCTATTTTTGTTAGACTATTTCTTTTTATAGGCTCTTGACGCAAAAAAATTTCCGGATAATTTCCATCTCTATCACCCTTTTTGTCTTTTCAGGCAGGTTCTTAGAGACAAAAATATCTTCCCTAATATTCCTTTTATTCGCAATGGCAGAATTCAGTCCTTTCTGGTAGGTTGACATGGTGTCAGAATAGAAAGGAACCGGATGAAAATGCACTACAGCAACCTCATCCTTCAATTGGTCTGTGGGACTTTTTTTCTAAGAAAAGGTTGGCTTAGTGGGGATCGCGTTGACTCCTGTAGCACACGACTGAATTGGCAATGCTTCATGAGGCGAGTGTGAGTATTCACTTGCTCCACTTTTGAGTTACTCACAGATAATTTTTTTCACTTTTTTTACTATAACACACTGCTTTCTCATAATTTCATAACTGACTTGGTCTATTTAAACTAAGCTACTAACTTAATAGTGACCCTCAGATAGCCTAGCATAACGTGGATCATCACAAATATAAACCAGCTGATCAGTTTGCTTGTTCTAGCCTGGATTTCAGCAAAGTTGTTACTTCCGGCATCTGACTTTGAAAGTTGTGCCTGTGAGTGGATGGATTTGTACGTATGTGTGCCTGGCCTCATAAACATGTACACTATGGCATGCTTCTATTCCAAGAACCGCAATAAATGGGCAGACGCCAGTAGAACCGGCTGGCTTGAGGCCGTATTTTGATCAAATGTCGACCGGAAAGACGACTGTTGCGGAGACTACAAAGGGGAGAAATGACAGAGAGAGTGGGCCCAACAAACTGTCTGCTGATTACTTTTGCTTGAACTGTCAGCCCCAAAGTCGAGCCAGCCGGAGGTTCTTATGTGCCTCTAAACAACTTCGGCAAACCGGTTGGTATGTCAAAGAGCAACCCGGTTACTGTTGTAACAAGGTTTCTCGATCAGCGTACGTTAGAAATGGTACTTTTATTAAACAATTGGCAATTGTAATGATGATAACACTTTAACATCGTTACACTAAAAGTATCAGCAATAATAGAAATAATATTGGCAGCGATCGAGAAGAAGACACAAAGCAGGTGATCGTAAACTCGTAGAGATGCTCCAGAAAGTGAAGGATAAGCAGCAACTATAAGCATTTGGCGTATTTACTATGTACTATAGTGAATTTAGTTGTCGTCAGGCCGATGCATTTTTCGCCTTCAGGATGGATATGCTTATATACCTTTTGAGCTGAGGGTATAGTTTTAATAACTTCCTTAATTTACCTCAGATCCGATCTGGGGAGATGCTCTTACACTAAAAAGCGGCTAGCGAATGCATTGGTTGGACCTTGTCTCTTCTGACCTTAGCTCTCGGATATTGGGCCATGATCTACTAACTATTGGCCTGAAAGTCTGTAGAATCTACCAATGTGCTGAAGGCACAGTGCTAAAGTGCTCGCAATGTTGGGCAAAGAATGCTTGATTAATTCTAGAACCAGGTTGACATGAGAGATGATGAAGTCTGGTATGAGATGAAAGTTTGTTAGCTTCGGGCAATGAAGACATTTGTACAAAACCCCAGGGAATCTCATTACTCGGAAGAACCATGCATTTGCTCCACTTCCTCCTCGCTAGCTCATCGGACAAGCAACGAAATGCCAAGCGATCTACAAATGCCATTCATCCTTCTCATAACTTTGGTCAATCTACTACTTGATATGATACCCCCAAAATCCACCAGCTCCATTGATTTCTCAGCTGTTAATTGGATTTTTTTACCTTACTTTTTATTTATATAGTTAAATATTCTAGTTTAAGCTTACTGGAAATCACCGTTTATTTTCGTTTATTTTTGTTTATTAGTAGGTTTTAGAGACTACCAGAAGATCATATATACGAGACGTACTAACCCTATTTTGTTTAGGGTGATGAAGTACAGGCAGGCGAATTTTTCCCAAAATGATATGAATAGGCCTTACGTTTCCATTAAATTGCACATAGCCTTGCTTTCCTAAAGGAACCCTTATTCAGGAAGGAGTGCCTAGGTCTCATTAGTACTCCCAGCGGGAATCGAACCGTGATAGGGTGGCGTCTAGTTTCAACGCGCTGATCACTATTCAAGACCGTCACAAGTGCCCTTGGGTCACAGGGCAGATGTGAATTTTAAAGAGGGCCAGGCCTTACCCCATATCACATTCTGTGGTGAGATTGTCGAAATAGGAGGAGTACATCTCATCTATATGATATACTAGTTGTCTCAAAAACCTACTTTTAAAATGAAAAACTTAAAAATATTGCATGCTGGTTTATTTTCGCCATTGTTTACCACAATTGTCAATCATTCTAAATAATTAGTTTACATTACATTTGTATAAGTACAAATTCCCTTCAGCTTATTTATATATGTAGCTTATCGGACGTGATGTATAGATGATTCTTTGACAGTAGCCTTGAACCGGAATCCGAGATAAATTGCTGCGTCATACGCTTTTCGCCATAATTTACTTAGAGGGAGTTTATTTTACGGTCAACTGATAGAAATGATTCGCGGAGACTTCAATTTCGTATGGAAGTGCATCAAGAAGGGATTAAACGGTCGATCTCCGTTGTTATGCCGCCATTTTGCCTTACTACGAAGTTTGGGTTGGCGCAGTCCACGAGGCATCCTCCCTCGTTTTGGGTGAAACCGGGCTAAAATTTCGTCCATCACATGACAGGCATCCTCAGAGCTGGAAGTCATGCTTGCAAAAGTATGTCTCGATACCTTAATCAAAACCCAGCCATCCACATATCGTGGAGGACGACAGCTGCATGAGGCCGAATCAAAATCTTGTGAGTAGCCATAACGAGTTAGAGATTCTACGCCATTTTCAAGAGGCATAAAGTTTCCTTTCGGAATCTCTGTTTGAAGGATTTAGAATATTCACGTCACTTATCTTCTTGGCGCCATATCTTCAATTGTGGTATGCTTCTGGGGAAAATCCTTGTGAAATAACTGTCTCAACTAAATGGTTCGTTGCCAAAATCATCACTTATCCTATAAAATACAATCTACTTTTAGTATATGATGAGAGGCTTGATTTTAAATAATTCCTTACCTAATTCATGTTAATATGCCTTTTGGAAAAGTGAGTCGCGGCGGAAACGGAGAGAGGATCGTCGATTTGGGTGAATAAGCCCTCGGCACCGATGATTTCGTGCCTAGCTTTCCTCTGTCATGCGACAGGCATCTTCAGAATGTGCCTCACAAAAGTTCACCTTCACTTACAAATAAACATGTCATGTTTATCTAATTCCTTTTACTTCGCGTCCCGTCACGTTATCATCTTACTACTTCCCTTTTAGCCCAAAACGTGACACTCCATCGTTTTAATATGTCTGTTTATATTCTAATTCGGCATGTATATCCAGTAATTCTTGAATAAGAACTTAGATGATTTAATGACTGTTATTGCAATGAATATGCTTCATAATTCAATTAAACTTCAA